GAATGAATGGCGATACAAAGAAATTGATTGATGAACTCAATTGCGAGACATTCAAGAAACACGACCTCAAGACGGAACTCGAATGGCTTAAGAAGACTGTGGTTGCCATCAACAGTCCGATTGTCTTTTGTCACAATGACTTCAGAGGCAGTAATATAATGGTTACCAAAAACAACAACAACTCCAACGATGAGATAGTACTTTGCGACTTTGAATACTCGTGCTATGGGTACCGGGGCTTTGATCTTGGTACTATTCTCGTGGAATGGGGTCGTTCTATGAACGATATGACAAAACTACACGACTTTCTCGAAGACTCGGCGATTGAATCACTGCTTCAGCACTATATCGACGAATCGGTGAGAATTTTTGGCCAAAAGTATTTGGAAAATAAAAACAATTCAATGGATCAGTTGCTGAGAGAAGTGAAACTGTTTGTACTGATCGGCAATATATTCTTCATTTTGTTTGGTATACAAAATGATGACAACAACGAACAGATAATGGATAAGAAAGTAATGATGGTATGTATGCCTTATTTGTATGCATTTAAGAGTAATATACTAATCGTTGTTAACATTTTCATTTATAGGGTTTCTCTGAGATTTGTTTTAAAAACTATTTCCATCTCAAGAATCAGTTTGTGACCCAAAATATTTTTTAAATTATAATATTAATGATATTATAATACACTATAATAATAATTATGCTTTTATGGTTTATGACATTAAAATACAAATTTGTTTCATTATTTTAAAAAGTTGTTTTAGTCTCATATCAATTATGTGGTAAATTAATTTTTAAATGAATGTTTTTTAGAGTTTAATTTATTATTCAATATCAATCCTGAATCAGATTCCTGATTATACTGTACTATAATATTACATATGGTGTGTTTATTTTTAATAACATGTTTTTATATATGAAATCTTTACATTAAATAAATAAAAAGTATACTTAAACTGCATACATATTTTAATTATCTTTATAAATTATAACAAATACCGATAATTAATAAATTTTTATTTGCAATAATTTATATCAGACTTAATCTTAAAACTAAATTGTATGCAAAAATTACATAAAAAATTCTAGGTAAATTAATTTGATTTATCTTTAATTAAAAATTAATAATTGTTAATCAAATACATTTTGTTTCATAAAGATCTCCTTCAAATACCAATAGTCACCATAACTATTGTCACCCCATTTCTACAAAAAAAAGTTAAAAAATAATTTACATATGAATACAATTACTGAATTGATTTCAATACAAACCATAAACACTTTCTTATCGACGGGAAAGCCTGTGCTGTCATTTTCATCATTTTGAATGCAAAAGAG